ACACCTGTTTCGAAAGTTTGGGTGAATAGCCAATCAGACACCGATTCTTTCGCTCGGGTAGCTAATTATTATTATTATTATTTTTTATCATTTGCAACGCAAATCCGCCAACAGATTGGTTAAGAGCCGTGTAATTTTAATTCCATATTCATGAGAAATCGTAATTCACACTTAGAATGGCAATCATTAGAAATGATAAGAAATGTCAAATGAGCAAAATTAAGGACCGTTTATTCATTTTGGCCAAAATTAAGGACTTTTAAGGACCAAAAATCATTTTTGAAAAAATTAAGGACTTTTAAGGACCATACGAACCCTGTATAAGAAAATATGTCGGCACTTTTTATATAAATTGTTAAATCATGTTAATGGAATAGATAAAACTTTATAATGCGTAAATATCGTTTGGCTAAGCAATCTGTATTCAAAGCAATTCAAAGCGCTATACTGATATTTAAGAAATATATTGTATAATTTCATACAGCAGGAGACCATTAACAAGATTTGCTTCGTCAGCAATGTCAAGAAATAGCCTTAACTCTTACTGTGTAAACAATGTCTGCCGCAGTTTTCGTGAATTAGCGGTTTATTTTGCAGAAGAGTGTTTTTAAAAGTGATATAAATGTAAAAGCTAGTTATTGCTTTATAAAAATTAACTGTTTGTTAACTAAATAACCTTCCTTTTATTGATTGTTTGGTATCAAAATTGTTCGTAGTCTTGTTTGGTATCAAAATTGTTCGTAGTCAGATTAATTTTTTACTTTCTAATTCTAGACATTAATTTCTCTTCACTTATGGTTAAAAATAAGGTAAAGTGATAAGATATTTTTAAAGCACTTATAATATCGTTTATTTGACTTTGTCAATTGGAGTTACCATGCTGCTTTTTTATGCATTATTGCTTTGTTTCTTAACTTTTATATCTTATAAAAAGTGTTTATTGTCAAATGACTTCGATATTCATCTAATGACAAAAATACTGCTAAACGGTTATCGACTGCACATCGATTTGCACCTTTTTTCTAATACTATGTATATTGACAATATATTTCTGAAGCTGCTTTTTATTTTTGTAATTTTTTCTCAAATATGGCAAATTATTCTATCAACGCCCATCGCTTCGCCTGTTTCAGCACTAAAATGATCTCTGGTTCAAGCTTTTGGCTCACAATAATGCCGCAGAGAATTCTTTTCGTCACTGTATGACATCAGAAATCGTGTCCAATAAGAGCTTGGGGTGGTGGCTGGGGCCAGGCGCTTGTAGGTAGATGGGAGGTACAAATGATGGCTGACTATTGTTGGAGCATCAAGTGAGAGTATCCACAGATTAAATGCACCAGCAAAAGCTATAAGTGAAAATTTTCTCTTAATATGAATATTTACCACTTGGTTAAAGAACTTTACTATTTCAATGTTGCCATACTACCTGAAAATCAGGAAATTTGAAAATTGACTAAGAAAGTCAGGGAATTTAAATACTTTAATCAAATTCAGGGAATTTCATACAGCGATCCCCCCTAAAAAAAAAAAAAAAAGCAATCTTTATATCATCGTTGGAAGCGGTCTCTTTTTTGGTGAATTATGTATTGCTTGAGCATCATTCGGACAGATGGCATAGAGCCAAATTTCGCAGCGCCAATTAGAATGTTTTTCAGAAAGGCAAAGCAAGTTTCCAGCAACCTCGAGAATCGAGAGATTCTCATCGCATGTGCAATGCATGTTGAATGAAAGAAAATACTCTCCCATTCTCATATAAAATAAACCAGTTTAATTTTAATATATGGTACACACATGATTTGGTGACATTATAATGTGCAGTAAACCGGACATTTATGATGAGCAGTAAACGGGTCATTTTGGTGTTAGCGACAGTTTTCAAAATTGTGCCAAGGCTATACTATATTCTGCAATTTTACCACAAAAATCTTTTAAACCTTTTTCTTCTTTTTAATAAATGCCTTATTCATCATTTTGGAGTCAATTAAAAAAAATAGTCAGTCAGTCATCTAGGCTAACCATTTAATATAATTATATTCAACAAAATATCATTGATTATTATATTTCAGTTTTTAATCTTTAAGTAATTAACTTTATTTTAATGTTATTTGTATCATTTAATGTGGCTTCTTTCTTCTAAGTTTATTTATTATTAGTAAATGATACTTTCAAATTTCAGGCAATTTTCTCTAGCATACCTTTCAAACTAATTCTAGCAGTATGATGACATATCATCATGTAATTTACACATATTTCTTGCTTATGTATGCTGCTAAATAAATATTAAATACCTGAATTTATTTAAAAATATCATTAAATAGATTTCTTTCTTTTGTTTAGCTGCAAAAATATGCAAAAAAAGACATTTTTTAATCCAGATTGGGCAGATTTTAATCTCAATCTTCAGTAAAGAAAACAACTCCTATTACAGTTATAATAGTAATAATACTTTGAGGATATTATATATATTTACATATACAGTATAAAGTCAGTAATCCAGACATCCATTATCCGGAATGATATATAATCCGGACCTCAAAGCCACAAACCTACACATGCGCGTTTAATGTGTGCGTCCGCTATGCATGCGGGTAAAGCATTTACACATGTGCGCTTCCGATAGTGAAGAAAGTGATAGAGAGGTTATTGAAAACGAAAAAATTTCGATTGACGAGTGAGTCGTTATTGTCAATACAGCAATTACAGGATTTGAACAGTGGAACTTTGTAACTGAACAAGAAATTATGTCTGTTTATAGAAGAGAGAATTAAAGAGTAATTTTTTGTGCTAATTAAAGTATTAGCACAAAAAATGAAGCAACTTAAACAACTTACATTGAAAGAAATGTTTAATAAAAGTAAACAAATATATATTAAGCTTTTTTTTTTTGTAAATTTTGATACCCTTTAGATCATAATTGCTCTTTATTTCATAAATTATGGTTTCATATTTTTAATTGTATAATTTCTGCATGCCATCTTACTAGATTTAAATTGATGATCTATAATCTGGAAAAACCCCTAATCTGGAATCGCTGAAGTCCCAACGAGTCCGGATTGCGCACTTTGTACTGTACATATTTATATTTGCATCATTTATATATAAATATACAGTCAAATAACGAAAATCTGCCAACTCTTGAAATCCACGTTGCCTCTCAAAATATAAACATTCGGTTTATAGGTTCCGGAAACTGCAACATTGATTACGAAATATCGAAGAAAAAATACTAAGTGAATAATGACATCATAATTACTGAATAATAATGAGTTATAATGGAAATACCAAATTATTGACATCATGATAAAAGTTTTTTCCCCTCAAATCTGCACCGAGGTATAAAAGCAGACGATTAACTCAACGCTTCTTACAAGTTCACAATTCACTTTGTATTTTCTGAGCTTTGTTATTTTACGAGATTATTTAGTGCTGCCTTTTTTTTTATCTGGATATTTTGTGGATATTAAGAATATTTTAAATGTCAGCCCTTTTTAATACAATGACAGATAAGAAATGCACTCATGATTTTACTACTTGTAACATTGAAAAACTTTAAACACAGGTGCATTGACGGTAATGCAAAAAGTGCAAATTTTGCAAATGATGGAGACGGGTGCTACTCCTTGGTTTAGAACAGAATCGTAAGGAATTGCAACATTATTGTGTATGATATACGGAAAAATTAAGAAAAGCTATTGAAATTTTACAGCAACAGTGGTTCTAACACCAGAAATCTTTGCATGAGGTGAAATCGGCAAACCTCGATGCTGTGTACATATAATGCAATGAATAATATAATCAATTTATATACCTAATAATAATTTAATGCATATAATAATTTAATTAAATAATAATGTATATTGCAATAATGTATATAATAATTTAATTAAATGTATCTAATATGCCTTATTTATTTTGCACTTTTAGTCTGAATATTATGATTTATCTTTTCTGTCGTGAAATCTGCACCACCTCTGGTCCCAAGCTTTGCGGATTTCTGGACTTGTACTGTATTTATATATGCATCATGTATATATATATATATATATCATATGTAATTTGCAAATTTTTGAGTTTTTAAATGGTACCATAATTAATTCACCTCTCAGCACAGTCAACGCGCACTATGCGGATAGACTGGAATTTTCTTAAAACAAACCTGGAAAAGTCTGGTAATTTCATTCTCTGGTTTGAATGGCAACCCTGTATCCGTATGAACAAAATTTAACTTGTTGTGACTATATATAGCCTTTGAATAAAACTATTCTTTGTGAACAGTATATTTGGTTATATGACTTTTGGAACAAAGGGTATTCTGTAGCTTAAAAGTCAGGATGATAGATAAAAACTGAGGTTATTTTTGGATTCAGAGGGCAATAGTTAATAAAAAAATGGCAGATTAAACAAGTGACATAAATTAAATTAAAAACAAGTGGCAGATCTAAGACAACAAAATTGTTGTTCTCCAGTGTTTTATTATTATTATTATTGTTTTTGTAAAAAAAATTCCATTAATAATGTTAGTTTAGTAAATTGCAATGACTAGCACACTAAATAAACAACTTTAAACGGTATTTTGCTAGCAGAGCACAAAAATTTTGAAAAGATGGCATTATGCAGGTTCTGAAAACAAGGAAGAAGGTAATAAAGCAAAATGTAGCTCAACAATAAAACATAAAATATTGGGCATGCTTAACATTCCTAATAAAATCAAAGAAATTTTGGTGCGACTTAATATGTTCTCATTGAATGTAATAAAGGATAAATTATCTTAACATACTTTCTTAAAGGTTAGAATGTGCATGTAAGATAGATGCAATTTTTAGAGATCCTTTAAAAAAATCTTATATTCAGGCCAGTTTAGCATCTTAATTTTGGAAATGAACCACTATGTTTTTCAGTATCAATATAACACTATTGTTTTCAAGAATATTTCTAGTTTATTCATTACTTATTTTTTGTTTACTATAAAAATTATTAAATGAAAATTATTATTCTTACAGTTAACTGAAGTCAAAGATAAATTAATACCTTTAATGCGTCTGGTGATAAATGAGAAAATTCCATCTCAAGATTTAGCACTGTATATCAAAGTGAAGTATCATCTCTTGATGCAGTAAGTTGATACTGAACAAATATATTTTATACTATTTTGCTTGCATTATTTCATATGCTGATGTAGATTCTAATTTTTTTTCATCTTATTTTTTTATCTAATGATAAATTTTAAACTTGAAATTTTAGTTTCTAAATGATCACATGAAATGACAAAGCATTTTAATTATTGCTACTAATTAATATAATTAATTTATTACTGTTTTTTAATTTTATCTAATTATTATTTAAAATTTCAATTTAAAAAGGAATGCACTTTTAAACAGTACATAATTATGTACATATTTTGTTTGCATTGGTGCTTTTATTCCAAGATTGTTCTTTCATGTGTTAAACTGATTTATTAGAAAAGTAATGACTTCTTCCTTAACGATCTGGGAAACATGGGATTGTGGATAAGTCATGAAGAAGATCTGTATTTAAACAGGATTCATTAGCTAAATTTGTATAATTGATTATTTTAGTCTCTATTTTAATAAACTCCCATTCATTAAGATGATATTTACATTATTAAAGAAAGTAAGAAAGCATGCCAATCAGAAATTGATTTTGTGAGTCATTTGTTATAGAACAGGTATGCATGTGGAACAGTGGCTTTGGTATTGTGTTGACACTGCCATATGGGTCAGTATTAAAGACCTAACTTTTCAAGTGGAATATTATTTGAAGATGAATTCATATGTTTATTGTTGTGCACAATTTTTTAAGAAATTTGCTACAGAAGCTCTGAAGATGTGAAAATGAAAATCACTGCTGCTATCAAATCTTAGCAAGGTTGTTAAGGATATGGTGAAATCTGCCAACAAATGTATGGAGCTGTAATCACCTCAATTCCTAGAAATTTTGCAAGCAAAATATGTTTCATAAATATGTATACTTAACTGTTTCTGTGATGGGTCCACTTTTAAAATGAGCATCCTTTATTTTTAATTTATTGTATTTTGGATATGAAGAATATTTCTTTCTTTCTATGTACTTTAGCATATGCATGAACATAAGTGCATACATGATGATGAAAAGCAAAGATTCTATTGTTTCAAGTCATCCTGTACTTCAAAGAATAACAGTGTATAAAAAAGTAAGTAGTACGTATATGCTAATTTTTATCAGATTATAAGGGTGTTAGTAATCTATAGTGTAAAAGTTGAAAATTTAAATATAGGTTATTTTTTATCATAAGTGTATCAAAATATTCAAGAAAGATGACTATGTGGCTTATTTCATGAAATAATTATCCTAGATTTATATACATACATCCAAGTACAAAGTTTCTTCAAATAAGGTACAAAATTTTGTGAAAACTATAACTAGTTCTGTACCTGTAGGTGGATAGTTTTCTGTAAAAAGACCTAATTTTTTGAAACTCCGTTTACGAAGTTAATAATTATATTTTAATTAGCTAAAAATGTGAAGTACCCTTATATACAAAATTCATAAACATGTGCTTAGCAAGATTCCCCCAAAACAAAATGGCTACCTATAAATTTAATAACGAAAACATTATGCTTTGTCCAAGAAAAACTTGTTTGTTGCCAAAGTATGGATAAGTATTATTACTGCTTTTTAATTCCTCTTTCCCTCCACCTCAAATCTCAAATTTGAGTTAGAGGCATTGAAAAAGGATTTAAGTCCATAAATTTATTTTTGTTTATCTCTATGAATTTTGTCTAAATTTTACACTAAAGATGTAATAGATATATCCTTCTATATTTAATGATTAAAGGAGAATACTACTTTGCTGATTTAAATTTTTGAGTTTGTAAGAATCATGTAAAAACTAGATTATTTTTATTAACAAACTCATCCACGTAAATCGAGACTTTCATAAGATTATCCACTTAATTTCTTAACTATTTGTTTAGGAGCAATATTTAAGTAATTAAAGTGTATTCAATATTAAGGAATAAAGATTCTAAGCATCTAATTTTCATTAGCCATTTTGTATTATGCTTTTATCTATTACCATATTTTCAAAGGCTTAGTAGCAAAATGTTAAACTTTAGTCATTAAAAAATTAATTTTAATTTACAATTGATGCTTTCAGTTTTTGTTTAGTGTGCTAGTTATTTTTAGCAAAATTGATATTTTAATAAAAGTACTTTGCATAATTTAAACATAAATGATAAATAACTGTAATTGCACTCTTAATTTTGTTTGTCAGCAGCTGTTCTTATTTGTTACATACTTTCATGATAACATTATAATTCTTTGCCGGGATATGGAAAGGAATTGTCATTTTTAAAAGCAAACAAATGAATGGCATTATTTATATACTTTTCCCCTTAATTACTGGAAATTTAAGTTAGATTTGGGAAAATGATTTATTTTCTGTGATTGCAAATAATTATACTTTTATGAATGAATACTTATATGTATTTTGTTGCTTTTGTTCATTTTGCATTGTACACTGCTAAAAAAAGGGGGGGCAGTGCTATATCTCCCGTTCTACTGGACCGATTGACAAAATTCAAACTGCGTTTTTCATGTCTGGAAAGCGCGACTTAGGATATATGTTAGATTTATATATAGCACTATTCTAACATAGGTATTTTGACACAAAATCGGACTTTTTCTAAAATAACATACCAATTTTTTTTCCATAATTCAATTGTATGACTCAAATTATGCCAGAATACCAAGTTTTGTAAAAATCGTACGAGTAGTTTTTAAAATATTAGCTTTCAAAATTTTAGCTCCTCAATGTTAATTGAATTTGGCAAGTATTTAGTAATCATCTTTTTTATAAACTTTTTTGATTTTACTTTCACATTTCGAAATTTAGGTTGATTCCAAATAAAATGTACCCTTTTTTTGTGTTTCTGTTTTTTAAATTTCTATTTTTAAATAATTTTTATAAATTTTTTCGAAAAAAATTTTGAATTATACATATAAAATTTTTACCATCATCTTAAAGTGGGCTATAGTATATATAGTATTTCTAAGCATATTTGCAAAAATTAGACTTTTTTATTCAAAATTTTCTAAGATTGCACGAATTTACATATTTTCGCGTTTTGAAATTTGCATCTCTTTTTTTGAGTGATTATGACGCCAAATTGGTTATGGATTCTTGTTACAGTGAATTGCCACAGCTTTTTAACCTTAAATTTCAAGTAAAAATTTTACGGAGAATTAATATATATGAAATTTTTTCCCTCAATGATGCGTATAAATATTTATTATACTATATGAAAAGCTCTTTTTTTTTAAATTATAGATGATATTATTCAAAATTTTTAACTACTTTTTTTTTTTATTCTTTCTTCAAAAAAATATTTGCAAGAGGAAATTTTTTATCTTCGGCGTTTTTATCGTCTGCTACTTTTACTTTAGCTTCGTTTAAATCGAATTGTCTAAAACTGAGAACTTTCGTTGATGTTTATTTGAATTTTACGAAAATATTTTTATGACATAATTGCTAATTATTTCTAAACAAGCTGTGCTTATAAAGTGACTGAAAGAGCGGCTGATACTATCATCCTATTTTTTAAAGCACAGTAATTTTTATAAAAACATAAGATTTAGAATAATCATTTTATAAAAGTCAAATTGATTAAACACACAACCTTCTAGAGACCGAATTAAATGG